TCTTCCGATACTGCCATTCTGGGAATTCACAAGCGATTCGAAACCAATAGGTGTGTTCCTTCTTATTTGCCTTTACAGCTTGAGTCCCTAACGGATCGCATTTTCAAGCTGTTCTGCTTAGCCACAAAGGCTGACATTTTTTTTTTTCTTCCAAATTCAAAAAAAGGAAAGCTAAAATTCCCAGATGAACACAGGAACTTTCTGGAACTTTCTCTTAGGAAGCCCTGTCAAACAGCAGAAGACTTGCAGGAAAGCTGCAAGAACTGAGACGAGCGTACACTTCGGATGCATCTTTTGCAAAGTGCAGGAGGAAAGAACAATTCTTTCGATCCAACAGAAATAATATGAGGATGAAACCACAAAAATTATCCAGGACATTCCAAACCCTTAGAAGACAAAAACAACTTGCAGCTCATGGTTTTATGTTGATTTGATTGCCAGTTGACGAGGTCGCTTTTTGGAAGTGCCACCACTGCGAAGCTGTGGCCTCTCACATCCAACGGACCATTGCATGGTGGAGACTCATGCTTTGGGTGCTGGTGGCAGCTGTCAGGGGTTTGTGTTGAATTAGTCATTAGCCGAAACTGGAACCATTTACCTGGCTCTCCACTGTTTACCCGCTGCTCATCTGCAAAAGCCCCATGTTACACACAACCAGAACCAAAAAGGCCAATGCTGCGAAAGTAACAATACTTCTGTGTAGCTGTGCCCCTTCCCCCCTACAATTCTAGCTTTTTTTTTTTTTTTCCTCATATGACTGCCTTTCCCGGGTGTCTTGACTCTACCCCCACCCCCCACCCCAAGCAGCTGGAAAGGTTGCGGGGGGTCCCTGCAGGGCAAGGGGAGACCATCAGGTGCATCTCTGCATGTCAGTCTTAGTCCACAACTTATTTACTTGTTAGTTCAAAGAACAAAGTATTATTTTAGAGCATCCAAAGTCACTACAAATATTTCCCCATGTGTTTCTCCCATTCATTGACACAGTTCTCCTGCTGTGTTTGCAGTCCAAAGGCTGCGGTATGGTGCACATATCTGGGCAATACAGATTCAGGGCAGAGGAAGGGGAAACACTGCACAAACCCAAGTACCCCTCCTTGCCAAACGGGAGTCACATGTAGCAACCAGGTGATGTTAATGGGAGCACAGAGTTGCTGTTCCTTTGGTTTTCCCTTCTCCCCCTCCACCTTCCAGTAAATTGGCTCCTGACTAGTCCCATTTTCTCCACTCCCCTCCAGTCAGGTCTTGCTCCTTCTCGCTGTGCTATTTTTTGACTGGTTTTCCAACCCTTGCATTTCCAAGCTGATCTGTAGGTGGGGGCAGACACTAGCTAACTGCTAGTGTAGCTGTACAGCACCCAGCTTTTCAGCTCCTGTGCCTTAACTGGGGCTAACCAGGCATCACTGAAGCACTACGCTTTGGATGGACCCAATCAGCTGAATTAGCATCTCCAAAATACATCCCTTGTCATGCAGGCACAGGGAGAAATGCAGGCAGAATAGCAAGGAAAGTGGAAGGGGATGAGATTCCCACTGGTTTAATTATCCAGAGAATTGTGCAAATGGGAGGCCAGGAAATTTGATCTTTTAAAAATACCTGAGACTGTATATTTCAGCCACTTCTGGTGATGTAAATCAGGAGCAGCAGTTTGGGACTGGGTAAGAGCGATCAGCCTTAGCCTCAGCACTTGTAGCCCTGCAGCTCTGGTGGAGCAAGGTGGCAGCTGGGTTACTCGGACTGTCCCGGTGCCTAGCGGCATGCTGCGCCTGTAGGAGCCTGTGCATGTGCTCTGCGGGGTGGTGCAGCCATGCAGCACGTCTCCCTGTGCTGCCTGCACGGTGGGTGTGTGGCTCAGTCTGCAGGGCCCTCTCGCTATTTGAGGAACTGAGTTTCTGAGGGCACCTACTGGGGCTAGGGCCAATATGCAAGCCTGTTCCTGTGCATGCATAAGTCTCCTGTGCCCCTGTGCTTGTCCATTAGTGCTGTGCATGCGCTGTTCTGCAAGGGAGCCCTGGAATGGGAGGACACTCCCGAGTGTGTCTGTGTGCATGTGGGGGAAAGGCAGCGTGCCCACTCACCTGGGTGGGAGCCAGCCGCTGAGCCAAAGAGGATGCATGTGGTGTGACTGTGTCGTGTGTCATCCATCCCTGCCATACACACACACCACCACCCCTGCAGCCCTCTTTGCTCTTGTAGCTCGCGGACCTGCTGTTTTTCGGGTCACTGCACTCTCAAGCGGATAGCAGCTTCTTTGCTATTTTCCCTGACATGTGTCACGTTGCATTGGCTTTGTTTGAAGCCAGCCCCTCTGATTCTGTCGCTGACAATAAGGAGTCGTCTCTCACTGCTCCTCCCGAACTGCATCCTGACACGTTCACTCCTGTGCGTCATTTTTGGCATGGGGGGAGAGGGTTAAGTCTTTAATTGCCATGACCACCTCCTTGCAAAGATGGGGGTCAGGCTGGCACTGAGGCTGGGGTGCTGATGCTGCAGGAATAGCTGGTCACAGCAGTCACAGCCGCACTTCTGCCGGGCTGGGTGGCATCAGCCACCTGCGTGCTGCAGGGCAGCCAGGCGCCTGTGTGGCCTGGGGCGGCAGGAGGCAGCGCTGTGCACCTCATCCCACCTCTGCTTGGCCAAACCCTGCAGGACCCTGGCCCCACATCCAGGAGGCATTGGCTGGCCTCTCCCCTTGGCCACGGTGGGATGTGGTACAAAACGCCCTCTGAGAGGGGCAACTAGGGGGCTTTTTGTTGGCTCTGCACAACTGTCTTGTTGACGTTTGCCTGCTCCTGTTGTGAGGCAAACTGGGGCCCAGGATGCCAGGGTTTATTGCAGGTCTTGGCGGAGAGCTTAGTAGATATACTGGTTACACTGGGGCAGGGAAGGGCAAATGGGAACTAAGATACTGCAGAACTGGTGATCTTGGGTAGAAGGAAAAGGAAACAGAGAGGCCACGGTTCCTGGGATTTATTCACCTTGTATTTCTCCTTCTGTGTTTCCTGGCATATCTTCTGGGCCTCAGTTTCCTTACTTATTGTTCAAGAAGGGTGTAATTGCCCAGGCACTTTTTCTTGTTACCATATGAATTGGATCATCCAAAAAAAGGGCTAATGAAGAGCAAGAAATTATTGAGCCTTCACTTTGCTGTGGGGAGGGGATGACAGAGGAAGCCACAGAAATCTCTGCAGGTGCGAGCAGATCAGGGAGACCCTGCAGGCTGACCCCCAGGGATGCATTTCAGCCAAAAGCAAATTGTTTCCATGCCAGGCATGTTTTCAATACCAGGCAGTTGTGTGCTCAGGTGCCCCTATCCTCCTGCTTTGGACTGTGAGCCTCACAGAAGGTTGATGTTTTTGTGTTTCCCCCAGGGGACAGGAAGCTCTTTGTGGGCATGTTAAATAAGCAGCAATCTGAGGAGGACGTACTCCGGCTCTTTGAACCCTTTGGGGTCATTGATGAATGTACGGTGCTCCGTGGACCCGATGGTAACAGCAAAGGTGTGAACCTCTCTATATGTTGTGCCCCTTTCTCTCTGCTCTTCAGGTCATGCTCGCCTGCCTCGCTGCCTGTGCCTCCCACCTTGCCCTGGAGCGCTTATCTCCCACGCCATCCTTTGGAGCCAGGCTAGAGGAGCCTGCAGCCCAGCCAGACATGGGGAGCAGGGCAGGGAGAGTTATCTGCTGCAAGGACAGCTTGGGGAAGATGGGATGAGACCTGGGTGACGGGGGGGAAAGCAGAGAGGGATGAGTAGCAGCTAAGTTACCAGGATCACTAGTGAGCCATCTGGCTCAATCTGGAGCTGCGCTTTGAAATGTTTTTCACTCCCAATTAGGAGTGCATGAAGAGTTTGGGGAAAGGGGGGGAATGTGGGGAAAAAGTAGAGATGGTGACATCATCTATAGGGTGTATCACTGAAGTGATGCTTTGAGCCCCTTCCAGTTTTTCCAGAATAGGGTACTTGGGATGAGTCAGCCTATTTGTCTCCCACTTTCTCAGGGTAGCCCTCCTTTGCCCTGCCTGAGATCCTGATACTGTGTCCTGCTCAGCTCTGCAGATGGCAGCTTCACAGCAGCCCTGTCACTGCAGTCTCCTGTGCTCTTTCTGTCCCTTTCCAGGCTGTGCTTTTGTAAAGTTTTCATCCCACACAGAGGCTCAGGCAGCAATCCACGCACTCCATGGCAGCCAAACAATGCCCGTGAGTATGAGGCCAGGGTACCTACCCTCTTCCCAATCCTCTTTCCCATCACCTTGTGGAAGGGAATGCCCATCACTGTTGGAAAACCAGGGGA